ACCTTCTTCCTGCAGTAGTTTCTTTGATCAGCTGGCTATGGCTTCCAATGTGACTCGTGGTACTGATGGCAGGAGGGATCTTGTGTACGAGATGTTCGGTAGCTTCCTACATAAGCGTGTTCTTCAATGTGGTTTTTTTTGTAACACTACGCTCTCAGCAAAACTTTGTGGACTAGCGGAAAGAGAATCCCACTTTGCCTAGCAGAAAAGCATCCAATAAGTGCCAGTTTTCAGCAGAGTGCCTTGCAGAGGTAGGTGATGCTTTAGATTTTTGCATGGTGGGCACATGACAGCTACAGTAGGATCTCAGTGCTGCTCGAGAGCAAAGTCAAACGGCTTTATGCCATTTCCATCCCCACGTGCCCACCTCACCCCCTTGGGGAGTCACCATTTCTAGCACAATTTGACTCAACTGAACATAAAGCAGCTTTTTAGCCACTGCTGTTTGCAACCCAGCAGCGGTTTTAGGGTACCTGAGTAGACCAGGCTGTGAAGCGCACTGGTTCAGCGACCACTTTGCAAGTGGCTCGTTCCAGCCAGCTTGAGTCTGCCTGTGCTCATGAGTCAATGCTCCTAGTTTTGTCAGCTTGTTGTAATTAAGGGCTGACCTGTATAAGTGCGATCGTGTTCGGAAATGATCGTCCAACGTATTTCTGTCAAATTATGATTGACAGCTTTTTACCAGCGTGGCACTTACTGGCTTTATTCTCCTGCCCTGTTTGGACATAGGTACACCTCTGCTGACAAATTTGCTGGCTCTCATCCATGAGATCTTAAGCAGCCTTGCGATAGACGCTTCGGGAATTTGTAAGAGGTGGATCTTAAGTTGCAATCTGCAGGCTGCTCGGCAGAGCTGTAGTGTTCACAGGCTACAAATAGCTGTGTTGGCATTTAGACACACATGAAATTGTTGTAAAAAAGGCTTTCTTGCCCTTGCCTGAGCATAATTGCTCGTGAGATGGGAATTGGGAAGCACGGCTCTGCAGTAGCTGGTGGGAGACGTATCTTCATGCTTACATCTCAGGAGTTTCAGTTGTAATGGATTTTATAGGAGTTTTTCCTTACATAGAAGAGGGGCAGTGGAGCCAGTGCAAATGGGGGGCTTTGTGTGCCCCACTGTCAGGTTAGACCATCGCCTTTCAGTCAGAGCTAGTGAGTGATGTGTTGGATAAATATGGGAACAGCTTTGCATTGGAATCACGGAGGAGTCGGATCAGACACTGCCCATCCCCTTTGCCCTGGCAGCCCGGGAGGTGGTTCTGGGATGCTGTACCACTGCAGCAGTCTGAAAAGTCACTTCTCTTTATGCTTGTCTCGCTTCTTTGGAGGTGAAGTCTGACTCCTAGAAGAAAAGGCTGAAGGGAGAGTCCTCTTATTTTTTCCCTAAGCATTAATTTTCTGTTAAATTCTTCTTCTCTTTTTTTCCTTTTTGATGTATTGCACATTTTCTAACCAGATTATTTTTGGCCAGTAACAAAAGGTTAATAATACCCATAAAAAGAAAATCAATCTTTGATTTTTTTTTTTTTTTTTTTTTCCTCCTCACCAAGGTAATAAAGGAGAATTTTTTATAAAGGTCTCTGTTCACACTTAGGTGTGTTCCCAGAGAAGGCAGACACATTTTTATTCTCAGCCATATATAAATTGCAATAACATTTTGAGACTTTGTGACCTAATGTTTATTTCTCTTTTTTTTTTTTTTTATTTTGACCTTTACCCTGTAAGAATTCACATCCCAAGCAAAAGCAGAAGGAATTTTAAGAGCAACCAGAATAAAAAGGGAGAGGGGAAAAACTCTGGCTTCCTAACAGGCCATAAACACTGCAGCGCCTGCTATTATACATTAGCAAATGCACTATCAGTTAACGTGTAAGCTATAAAGAGTGGTGGGTTAAGTGTAAGGGTGGCTTCTCTGGTGGCTTGAATCAGTGGCACTGTTATTTCAGAGGGATGTGCTCTCCGTAGAGGTTCCCTTCGCAGTCTGGACGCAGCACCTCTGCCAGAGCCCGGTGTGCCAGCAGCCCCTGCGATTTCCACCCGCCACCTGGGTCTTCAGGTGTTTTTCTGTCTTGTTCAATTTTGCAGCACTACCTGCGTGCAGGCAGCCTAAGAGATAAATAATAAATCAGGGATGATGAGGGTTATGGGCAGGTAGGGAAGGAGACAAATGTTATAGACCAATTTTTTCTTAAATTGCCTGTGTTTTAGTATGCTTCTAAAAAGTTAGTCAAACAGCACGACAGATTTATGCTCTCTTCCATTACCTTTTTAATAAATGCTCTTCCATCTTGGCTCTTGGAGCGTGCTAAAGGATTTAGCTGCCCTAAGCAGACGGTGATGGTGGTGCTCTGCTGGGTGACCTGGAGCAAGTCATACTGGTTCACTGTGCCTGTAAATGTGCCTTACTCACTTTTTGCCGCCTTATTTTCGTTACCTTTGTACTATCTGTTGTTGAAGCACTTGCATTCTCTGGATCAAGAGGCTCTGCGAGTGTCGAGCTATGGCTCTTTGTTGTTAAACAGCTTGGGAGCAGGAGGAGAGGTCGCCTGGCTCTGCTCATTCCTGTAACCATGCTTGAAACTCTTTAATTCTGGGAATAACCACGCGCTCCTGGACTGCAGTGGTCCAGCGCCTGGGCTTTTTGTTTTAAACAGTGGTAGAGCAGTTTCAAAAGGGTGGTTCACTAATGTCACTGAAAAGCTGCAGCCATTGAGTTCTCTGATTGTTCATAATTAGCTCTAATAGCACATTTGAAAAGAGGTGGTAAGCGATTGCCATGGGCAAGGGGATACAGAAAGGCAACAGGCTTCTCTGCTTTGTTGAAAAGGGACATTTGTGTAATTGAATTACCTAAATCTTCAGAGCCAGAGGCCATTTCGAAGTGGGTGGTGGTAGGGTATTCGGGAGCTCTGCTGGAAGTACCCAAAGCTTGGGGCTTAGTGTGAAAACAGCCTCTTTCCACTGGAACTGTTTGCCTAAATGTAGACTTTTAATAGAGTGATGAAATGAAAGGAAGGGAGTATATTCATAGCGTATCAGTTATGAAGGATCTCGGCAATGTGATTATAACATCTGTTTCTAGCTTTAAAATAGATGAAGACATGAATACGTTTCCCTTGCAGAGGATGAGCAACAAAGACCTTTTCCTCTCCTATGGGGAGACTTTTTCCTTGCTGTGTTTCCTCTGGCCTTGGAAAAGAGGTTTCCCGGGGCCTTTTCTAAGTCTGGTCACCTCCTTCTGCAAGAGCAAGGCAAGTAAGATGCTTGAAAAGGAGGGTCCTGTGCTCTGGTGAGAAGGCCCCACGTGATTGCTCGTCCTACGCAGGGAGCGTTGCAGGTATACAAATTTCGAGTGCTGTTTTAAGAAAGATGAAGGGCATCATGTTATAGTAGTTGTCCAATGAGAGAGAAGGACAAATAGCATCTTCTTTGTAACATCAAAACTGTAGACTCTCCTCCTGGACTTGCTGTGGCTACACTTTTTTCCATTTGTGGGTACTCTTTGCTCCCAAATAATAATCTGTGTGTTCAGGGCATGCCGCTGGGAATGCGTGGGCAACTTTCCTGAAGTGGTTGCCACAGATCAGCTTATTCTGAAAAAGCTTTTCAAACCTTTCTGCCCATGTGAACAAGTCGTAAAATAAATATTGTTAGTTGTAAGTGGAACTGTATCACTTGACACACAGGATCGTTAAGGGCTGTATATGTATCTGTGTGGTAGAGCAGCCAAGTTAAAATTGTATCTAAATATTATTTTATGATTTTTAAACTGCCTCATTGTGCAGTTCTATTAATCAGCTTATCAATGTTATGGTAATAATTTATGTATGCTAAAATTGGACTATAACTGTGACTACAAGGATGAAAAAGCTATGACTGATCTTCAGTTTTTATTTGCTGACCTTTCACTTTCCTAGTAAAGGTGCAGATCACGGTACTGAGACTTTAAACTGCTTGTCAGCAAGTTCTCAATGGTCACCCATGGACCCTCAGGGGTTTGAGAAAGAAACTTGAGAACCAAAGCTGAAAATCATCAGGTTAGGAAGTCAGTTGCTAGTATGTGGGGATTTTATTTTATTCATTCATATACCGGTAATTCCAGTGAAAAGCATCTAGCATCTGTGCTGTCTGCAGAGAGTTGGTTGCTCTTCGGTGGCGATGTTGTATCTGTATCTTGTGCCAATTCACGCAAGGCTGTTTTTTTTTTCCCCTAAAAGACATCTAGAGTAGCAGGAGGAATGTGGTTGCCTCCCCAGCTTGTCTTTTTTTCCCAGTCCCCTGCCATGCACCTCTAGCAGAGAGCCGTTTCCCTTCTTGCTATTTACATGCTAACACACTTGGGAGTCAGAGGGCTTCTGGAGATGTGGAGTAGAAAAAAAAAAAAAAAAAATCTTTTCAAATGAAGACAATACAAACATAATAAATGGCAGGGAGGGTTCATCTCCCTCATGACTCAATCCTTCTCAAACAACATTATTATTGACTGGCCTATTGGTTGCCAAAAAGGAAAATCGATTGTACTAGAAGTAGTTGCTGGACCACAGATCATGGTACTAACCGAGCAGAGACAGGCTGATTTTTATCAACTATCCAAAGACTAATTTCCACCATTAGCTAAAAATGAAGTAGAAATTATGGATATGTCGAAGATTGTGAAGATTGGTGCTCTGTTGGTTTTGTTTTATTTGTATGGTTTTTCTGTTTTCTTGCCTAATTCCTATCTGTATAGGATAAAAAAGCAAGGAAAGGTCAGGCCTGCTCGCCTGCCTGTCACTGCCTGTTTTTTCCTTTTCAGTCGTCTTCATTTGGATTTCACAGCAAGAATACAAACTGCCTCACTCTCTGCATGGGCCTCGTGTCAGAGGCGTTGCGTAGACATTTAAAAATGAAGCTGGTCTCAGCAAACGTGCATCCCTTCCCTGCCTCCTGCACCAAATATAGGTCGTCCTTTTGTTTTTCTGTATCCGTAGGGAGATGTTGAGGAAATCAGTGTGGGCATCTTGACTGTTCTATCTGAGGGCTAAAGGCCACAGGCTGTATCTTCACAGCTTTCTCCCTCCCCATTGAATATGTGTGTGCGCCCACGCAGCCCACCACCTTTGCTGGAAGCTAATGGGCACAAACACACTTGCAGGTAGGATGCCAGCTGCCAAAGTACTCTGCTGTTACGACCATTCTCTAAACCTGGCCGAGATTAAAAGGGAAAATGTCTGAGCCTTGTGCCCTTGCAGTTAATGTCCCTAGTATAAATTTCCCCCTAAATATACTAAAAGCCTGGCTCATAAAGCCAGGAGGGACCCTGTCCTGGCTCTGATGATTGCTGCAGAGGGTTTGGCGTAGCGATGCTCACGGCGAGCAAAGGATGTCGCAGGTACAGCGTGCTGAATCGACCATTGCTGCGGCAGGAAGGTACTGGGGCAAACGGATGAAGACACTAAACAAAGATGAAAAGCAAAGCATCGAGAGCAGAATTATTAACCACAGTAGTTTCCTTCTTTCCTTATACCCCTCCCAAACCCCTGTCTCAGTATTTCTGTAGTCAGCTTTGCCAAGCAGATCTCAGAAGACTCCGCAGGCTTGTGCCCCTTCGGTCTTGACGTTGTTGCCAATGGGTGTGAAAGCCATTAGCCAAAAGAAAGGAGAGATCTGCTTAGTGACAGAGGGTAGCTTTCTACATTAAAGCATTGACATGGTGCCAGTCACACAGTTATTAGAAGTGGCACAGCTCCATGTCTCTCCTGCGGGTCTCTCTGTGGAATGTAGATTGGCAGCAGGTTGAATGTTAAATGGTCACCACTCAGCAGATGCTGATTTTACCTACTGGGAGAAAAGTCCCTTTCAGCAGAAACATTTGCAAAATATTTGCATCTCTAAATATATGCTGGGAGATGCAGAGATTTATCCCTGGTTTGCTCTTCAGCTTCTGAAGACAACTCAAGCCTCATCAATGCACACTGTAGGTCGTACGGACGATGAGACATTTCCATCTGTTTGTGCAGGCTGGGCTTTTTTGCATTGTTTCTTCCCATCTTCCAGCTTGACATGTACAGTCCTTATTTCTTCTGCTCCCTGGAGATGTATGAATCATTGCTTCATTGCTGGTGCAGCAAAGCAGTTGGCACCCTTGCTCAGGCAGTCCGTGTGCAGCGTTGCCTGCAAAGCAGGCTCACCAGCCCAGAAAGCAACTGCAGGCTTCTGTGTTGTTCCAGCAGTGACTGCAGGGTCCACACAGTCCTATCAACCTCTACGCACAAAACCAGTGTATGAAACATGAAATCCAAGAGCTGGTCCTGAAGAAAAACTGTTGCTTTACGCTCAAAATCTGAAGCCGCGTTCAGGGTGATGACAACGCAGGGTTCAAAGCTTGGGACCGAGGGCAGCAGCACGTTTTAGTGGGTTGCTGTGAGGTTGCCTGGCTTGTGGGCATCACCGTGCATTGAGGGCTGTCTTGTGCAGAGGGAGGCACCTTCCGTGGCGGGTGCTGGTGCAGGAGGAATGCGGTCTGGCAGCAGGCACGTAGTTTTAGCTCAAGGAGCGTGACTGCCCTCTGCATCAGGGGAGCCTTGTGCCTGTTTTCTTGCCTGACCAGCACAGCTATTTTGTGGTATGAAGGCTGCCATCTCTGCCAACGCTGGCAGAGGCCAGCAGCAGTTGGCTTTGAGGTAGGTGCCAGTGACACCGTGGTGCTGTCATGTGTTCTGGTGCAGAGGAAAACCGGGTATCTTGTTCGCTGCTGTCTTTATATGTCTTTACAGAGGCAGGAAAGAGCCTTACCTTGAGTGCCTCCCTGCGAGGGCATGCGATGGTCCCATGCCCCTTTGTCTCTTGGGCTGGGGGTCATCTCTGAAATAAGCATGTGTTAAAACACCTGTAATTTGTGAAGTCATTGTTGGAAATGCCTTAGCCCCTCATTAAGGTATTTGGTTAACTGCGCAAACAGGATACCACTGGCAGCCCAGCTGGTTTTTCAAGTGAATGCGTCACCTCAGGAATGGTCTCTAATCACCATAGGAATGGTCTCTAGCCTTGTCTCATTTCCTATAGCCTTTGCGTCACCTCTCCCTGCCAGAGGATCCACCTTTCCCAAGCAATCACTACCCTTTGCTCAGGCGACATGGTTCCCTTCCCCCCGCCACCCTCCATTCAGCCTCTTCAAAAAGCTTTCCCTGTTTGGAAGGAGTTAAATTCTGCCGCTCACCTTCTCCCTGAGGACTTTTCAATATGAGAAAGTCTGGGTTTACTTTCCAAAAGGAATTTTGTATTCATCTGTTGTTGGCAGTTGTCCCTTCCAGTTTGCTCTAAAAAACAGAGCTAAACAAACCCACAGACAACAACAAAAAATCCAGTTCTGAGTGCATCATTGGGGCATCTTGAATTTGCAGTCTTTGGTGCAAAGTACTTTTGTTAGTTTTCCTAAATAAAGTTGTTCTAACACTTTAGATGTCGGGGGAATAACTCTTTATGCTTATTTTGTTTAGATTTTTAATAAGATTTTTGATGATCGTAGCCATTTCTTGGCTCTGTGGGTTCTAAGTGGCAAAACGGCACTCAAACTGGCAAAGCTAATTTAGGAGGCTCCTGTCTCTCAACTTGCACATCTTACTTATGCATCCATGAGAATGGCTGTCAGTGCAGGAGTCTTTCTGGCCCAGTATCATGTCTCCAGCAGCAGGGAAGAGTGAAGGCTTAGGGGACAAAGGGGACAAAGTATGGGTAAGCATACAGCGATAATTTCATATATTTTCCCAGAGCCTGCAGCTTGGAGGCTTCTTGAACCATTGGTATTATCTTTGCGCTCCCAGATTTTTCTTTGATAAATTTCTCTTGTCCCTCTTTGGATTCCCAACCTTTTATGCCAGTGGGAGTTCCCTAGTTTAACTGTGCATTTGCTTTGCACTTGCCATGATCATTTCCTGTGAGAGCCCGTCGTTCTTGTGTAATGAGAAGCAGTAATTGTTCCCTCAGTTACCTTCTCTGTCCTGCTTTTGACTTTATTGGCCTCCTTGATTCCCCTTGATCACTTCTTTTTCAGACCAAGGAGTTTAATCTATTTCATCCCACCCCATTTGGAAGCTGCTCGGTAACTTTTGCTGCTTGTCATTCTTCGAATTGTTTCTAGTTCTTCCTTATTTCCTTTCAAATGAAGAGAGTAGCACTTCTCTCAGTGCCCAAGCTGTAAGTGCAATATGAGGTTTAAGAAAGCAATATAATGATGTTTTCTTATTTCCTCTTTTTTTTTTTTCAAATGCCTCCTTATTTGCCTTTTATTAACTACCATTGAATACTGAGCTGGTGTTATTATAGGGCTGTCTATAATAACTCATGGTCTGTTTCCGCACAGGTAATAGCTAGTTCGGAGCCCATCACTGTGGATTTAGACTAAAGATTATTATTTTTTCCCATGTGTGCATTACTTGCTGTTTATTAGCATGGAATTTCATCTGCAGTTGTTTCACCCTGTCACTGAGATCTTTTTGTAGCATCTTACAGTCAGCTTTTGTTTTAACAGACTTGGATGCTTCACCCTCAGCCTGCTTCCCCTGTTCCTTTGTTGAACAGGGGTTTTTGTTGAGTTGTTGAACAACCTGAGCCCTTGCATAGATCCTTCAGACTCCAGCCATCACCAGTAATTGTGCAAGCCGATTGTTTATTCCTACTCAATCTTTACTTTTGTAATCAGTTATTGAGCAGTGCAAAGACCTTCCCTTTTGTTCTATGTCAGTATCATTTAATAGCCTTTGGTGAGAGGATGGATCAAAAGGCATTTGGAAATCCGTGTGAACAGGCATCCCCGCTGGTGTGAGGGACAGCAGAAGTCTCGGAGGTGCTTGCCTGCATAGGGGAGCAAAGGCTGGTGCCATCCTCCCTCTACCTTTCACGGAAAGACTGCTCAGTTGCTCCCTTTTGCAACAACAAAAAAATAAATCTAGCCTGAAGTAACCTTCTGGTTCATCTAACAGACCAATTAGCTGTCTTGACTTAGACATCCCAGGTTGAAATGGGTCTTCCATCCTCTTATGACAAGGCTCAGCTTGGCTGGAATAAATCACCCTGTCTTGAGAAGAGTTTCTTATAAAACAAAGTCCTGAAGTTACATGATCACGGAAGGTGCGTTGAAGTTGTTTGCCGTGTTTGTTCTCAGGTTAGGAGTTGGCTGTCTGTGAGCTGGGTACCCGCGGTGGAAGAATTGGTAAACTTCCATCATCTAAATCCGTTTCTGCTGTTCCAGCCAATTAAACATTAAAATGAGCATGACAAATAAGTGTTCATTTATGGGTCAATAACTCCGTAGTATGTCTGTGACATGGCTGGCCAAGACAATCCATTTCAGTACAGTCCTGGGCAGCCCGACA